ATGAAACTTAACTCACAACATTGCCTATTAACATGTTCTATTCCTTTTTAGTAACATTTTCACGTGTATAAAGTAAAATAATAATTTAATGATGTATTAACTTTTAATAAGCAATTTTACAGATTGATTTAATTGAAAATTTTTAGGGAAAACTTCCATTTATAATTTATACTCTAATTCATGTGAGTGAACTTTTATGTCAAATTTAAACCTATATAAACTTGAATATGGGTAGCAATTTACACCTAATACTTGAATATGTAATAATGCAATTAATACTCTTGATTAGTTAAACCCTATGTTTTTCAAAATTTACGAGTAGCTACCGGCGTCTCTACGGTTAAATAAACTATTTTTACAAATATTGTGGTTATTTGAATTGTATTAGCTAGGATTTTTGTTGCTAACTTTGAGCATTTTTTTTATACCTACACAATTTTGTGCTAACTTTCATGCATTTCTTTGACAGGGTTATGGTTTTCAGTGTTATGTTATTGATTTTTATTCGATTAAATTGGTTCATTTTGTGAATTTTAAATTTAGTTTTGAGGAGTTACTAATTACAATACTTATTTAAATTCATCAAATTATTGACTCCCTAAGTTCACAAGTATAAATTAAAATTTACACATGAAAGTTCTAAGAGTCTTAAAAAAATGGAGACATTTCCATTACAATTAACTAATAATTAGTAATCATTGTTTATGGCATGGTCAAATTCCATTCTTACATTATATTTGTTTGAGTTTCTCAAACTTTAATTTGCACATGTATAAAATGTGTGTACAGATTTTTTGTACCACTTTTCATCAGTTTGCTATACCATTGTATCGATTTTGGAACAACTTGGAATTGAATGGCTAAAAATTGAGGTGTAGTCCCATCAAAATTCCGAAATGAAAACGATGGAAAGAGAGAGTGAAATTAAAAAATATATATATATAATTTTGTAGGAAATGATGGAAGAAGTGGAGGTGAGGGCAGCGCATAACGTGCTGGAGGCGTGTGCTCAAACTCAAACCATACACAAGGTCGTCTTTACGTCTTCCGTCACGGCTGTTGTCTGGGGGCAACATCGTAATTCCTCATCCCTCTCTCATTTGGATGAGCGCTTCTGGAGCGATCCCCACTTTTGCCGCAAATTTAAAGTGAGTTTCCCCGTTTATATTCGACTCGTTAAATTATAAATTTAGTCTAACCAACGATATATTTTTTTTACTATTGCTAAGAATCAAATTACTTCCAAAAATAATACCACTTTCACAAACTAATTCTGAAAATAATTGGACGAGCTGGCAAAGTTTGTGGGGCCCACAAAAATGTTTTTATGAAATTTTGAACAAGTAGCAATCTATTTGCCTCCCCTCCTTCGACTGTTACTCCTCCCGTCCTGACTTTTATTTTACCAAAAAAATTATACTAGCATTATTTTTGAAATTAGTTTGATTGTTTAACGAAAAACTCCTATAACCGGACATCGTTTCAATTTAATACAATGATATTTATAATTTAAAAATTTTCAATTCAATTTTTGTTATTTGAGTTTAATTTCCAGATAACTTAGTGTAGAATGTCTAAAATTTTAGATACTAGTATAGTATAAAAGGAAACTTATAAGACTAAATAAAATGTTACTTTTAACTTTATTTTTTTAAACGATTAAATTTATATCACTTGGTCGTTAAAATTTTATAACATGTATTTTAATCCTCGGGTCCGTTTGATAACCATTTTAGTTTTTGATTTTTTTTCGTTGGTTTTAGTTTTTAGTTTTTAGTTTTCTATTTTTAAAAACAAAAACCATATATGTTTGGTATGTTAAAACCAAAACATGTTTGGTAACCATTTTTTGTTTTTTGTTTTTAAGAAGTTAGAAATTTGAAAATACATATTAGAGATAGAAAATTGTATGTAGAGTGGATATGACAGTGGTGCGGGTGCGAGTGAGGATGCTCTCCCCATTATCGTGCTCGTGACAATTTTTAGTCTCCATCTCCACCTCGTTCTTGGGTCCGAGAGATGTTCTCGAGAAAAGTTATCGGTTTTATAATTGTTTTTAATTATTTTAGAATTTAAGTATAAAAAAGTGTAATAAATATATATTAAATTATTTAAGAAATGTAATCGGGAACGGGAATGGGGTCGGGACATGCATTTCCTATTTTTAGGCCGGAAATTTATGTCTTCCCCTAATGTAGAGACATGAAAAGAAAGATGTAAATAAACTTTTGAAAGATAAATTTTAGAAAGATAAATAAAAATATTTAGAAAAAAATAGTGAAAGAAAAGTTAAAAGACAGACAGAGAAAAATTTTAGAGAAAAAAAATAAAAATCAAGAGGAAAAGATATGTTAAAGAAAAAAATTATAAAGAAACAAAAAAATTAGAGTGGAAACAAATTTAGAGATAAAAACAAGATTCAAAATATAATTTTTAGAGAAAATAAATAAATACAAAGATAAATAAAAGTTACATTGAAAGAAAATTGAACAGAAAATAAAATATAATTTTTAAAGGAAAAAATAGATTACGACAAGAAAAAAAGTTATAAAAGATGAAATTTTAGAGAGAGAAAAATGAGGAAAAATATTAAATTTTTTGAGAGAGAAATAGAACTGGTTTGTTAGAAATAAAAACAAAAATATATAGAAAAATTTGTAGGGGGATAAATAACCATAAATATTAAAAATATAAAAATTTTAAAAAGAAAAAAATAAAGCTTGTAGAGAGAAATTTAGAAATAAAAAAATTTTAGAATAGAAAATAAAATTTTCAGAGATAAATACAAGAAAGAAAAAAAAAATCGAGTATTAGAATGAAAATAACCTATTTTTGAAAACTATCTTTTTTTTTCTTCAGTTTATCTAGAATTTTAAAATGTTTTTTGAAAAAAAAAAAACAGAAAATTGAAATTGTTATAAACAATTCTGTATTTGAAAAATTAGAGATCGAAAATCAAAAACTAAAAATGAAATCAACGAATCGGTTTAAGAAAGATAACAACTTTTATCTTTATATAATATTACTTCAAGTATAATGCTTAGTGTGGCATGTAGTGAGCCACATAACAGTTGGATAAGCCGAACCATTAGGTGATAGATATTAAATGAAAAATAATAGGAAAGATAAAAAATATATATAATATATATTTCTTTTTTTAAGTTTAAAGATGAAAGTTAAAAAAAGGTTTAAAGCGAGGGGAATAGAATTTGGATAGGAGTTATGGGATATTAAAAAATGGTTAAAAAGTTATTGTTTATATATTTTTTCTAGTATAACAAATGGAGTAGGAAATTAAGATTCGTGATCTCTTAATTAGAGATCGGCGTCAATTACCACCGAGCTAAATTCATGTTGGCGTTAAAATCTTATTTTGGTATTTATAATTTCAACTTTTATTTATTTTGGCACTATATTTTCAAAATATTTATTTTGGTTCCTGTATTTGCAATTTTTGTTGATTTTAGTCGGTATATTTTCTAAATGTTGGTTTTGATCTCCATAGTTTTAAAAAGTGATAATTCGGAATCCTTTTAATTTATTTGAAATCTCATTTTTTCTATCACAATTTCAACACATTGTTACATACAAATATATTTCTTGAAATGTAATCATAACCCTATACTAAAAAGTTTTCATTATGTGTATAATTTGTATTAAAATTTTGTAAATAAAAAATTTTAAAAATATTAAAATAAACTAGAGTTAAAAATAACATAAATCAAAATTAACATTTAAAAAATACATAGGCTTAAATGAACGAGAAAGTACTATTTTAACTAAAATAAAAAAGCATAGTGTTTACGAAGTAATTTACAATTATGCCCCTTCGTAAATGCACTGCACAGTTATGGCACGGCCTGTCGAAGACGCTAGCGGAGAAGACCGCGTGGGCATTGGCAATGGACAGAGGAGTCAACATGGTGTCCGTCAAAGCAGGGCTGTTGGTGGGCCCCGATTTGACCATCGATAATCCGTATTTAAAAGGAGCGGCCGAGATGTACGAGAGAGGATTATTTGTCACCGTTGATTTGAGTTACTTGGTGGAGGCCCACATTTGCGTCTTCCAAGATGCCTCATCCTACGGCCGTTACATATGTTTCAATAACATCATCAATACACATGAGGACGCAGTCGACCTGGCCCGCAAATTGACATCTTTGCCCCAAAGGTTAGTGCCTTCTGCTCACTCTTCTTTGAGGGATAACTTCGTCTTTTTATAGTTCTAAACAATACTTGATGGGAAATACACACATCCAGTTTTAGATCGACAATTTTGAAAGTTAATAGAGAGGGTCGTAATTTTAAAAGGTAAACTAAAACCAACTCCCTAATTTATGGATGATTTTAGTTATCCCATAATCTATTTTTCATAATATTTCAAAAGCTGTAAAAATTTACTCGATATGTTAATTTGATTAAGAAATTTAAAACATAGTTTTCTAACTAAGGATTAACAATTATCCCTCGGTATACACAGAATTTTTTAAAGAAAAATGCTTGACCTCGTAGTGGTAAGAACCAATTATTTGAAAATTAAGAGAGAAATGTAAAAATAGAGATTTCTCTTTTTTTAAAAAAAAATAATGAGTTATCAAATTTTCAATAATGTTGAGGATGATAATGAGTGATGAGGTTTTTAAAACTAAGATGGAGAATATTATAGAATATAATCACAGACGAAAATTTTTCTTCTTTTCCATCACCATAATCCATCTAATTTGGTTACTTCGATTTTTTTCGGGTTTCTCCATTATTTCCTACTAAAATTTAAATTTATGTGTTTGGTTAACAGTGAAGGAGAACCGTCTACGAGCGTGGTTCCACAGAGGATAAGCAACAAGAAATTGAGCAAATTGTTAATGAGTTTTAAGGAAGAAGTTCAAATAGATTGAAGGATGGTTACTGATTTATCTACATTTTAACAAAATTTAATGTATGCCCAAATATCATATGCAGTCTTCAATGATGCAAATAATATATTATTGTCTCAAATTTACCATTTTAGTATTCTTTTTTTTAAATATTAAAGTTTAAAGTTGTGTCGTTTTTATTTTATTTTTAGTTGAACATTACATGCACTACAAGAATTCGGAGTTTCGGCGACGCAAATTCTCGTCGCTAAAACATCAAATTTCGTCCCCGAAGGTCTTTGGTAACGAAAACAAGTCG